TCCCTCGTGGTTGTTACCAGATTTTCCAAATCCACCATAAATTGTCACCTACATGTCCCCGTGTGTACTGTTTCTGCTATGAGACTGGGGAACTAAACACCCAAAGAGAAGCTGCTACTCATGGATGGAGGTGTTTAGCTTCAAGCCAAATACTTTATATGAGAACAGTAATTTTTAAAAATTGTTCCGTCACATTTGTTATCTAAAATATGAACAACTGTACAGTAAATTCCAACACATCGTTAACTTCGATAATATATCAAGTGAAACTAGATATTAATAAACAGTAAACACGGATTTAGGCAGTTTGGTTTTATATTGTGAACCGTAGACTTGCTGGCACCGGGCGACAAAAAAGGGATGGACTGAGGTTGTTAAACAAAAGGAAGCTTAAGACAGCAGTTTGTGTTAAAAAAAATAGAAATAAATAAAAAGTGTGCTTGATGCTTTATCTTTTTGGGGGGAGGTGCTTGATTTAAGAGGCATATGATGCAGATGGAGAGAGAGTATTTGGGATGGATATTTTTTTCTCTTCTTTTTAATGAGTTCCACATTTATCCAAAAGAGAGAACACCCAAAGAGATTTAATCTTAATGTTTTGAGTGTAACTAAAAATGTAAAATAAATAGCAGATTATCGTTACCAAGTTTTTTCTTTGTTTTGTTTTTTCAAATGAGCCATTAAACGTGGGTTTGTAACGCTTATTATTAAAGTGAAAGATTATGACATTCAGAACTAGGCTGCTGTCTATTTTTTTTAGATCAAAGGGAAATCTGTTCCTTCCATGGATTTGGATTGCAAAGGCTCTACCTTTTCAAAGACATCTCCGTTTAGACCCATAAACCGCGTCACATGCAACATTTATTTAGTAGTCAAATGGAAAAGTTATTGCATTCGGTGGATTTGAATAATTGTAAGGCTGAAGTAAAGAGGATTCAACACGAGCTGGTCGGGGTTGGTTCTGAAGTCATCGTACAAGAAAGCTCAAGTAATGAAATCATTCATCAGCAATATGCAACAATATTTATGAGTCTCGCTACAAGGCCCGGCCTGTTGATTACACTGCCTCGTGGCGTTCTCGTCGATACGGGAAAAGCTTTTTTTTTTTTAAAAACAAACAAAATCAAAACAACAACAAAAACACGGTTGCGTTAAACCACACTGTGGCATATGGACTTTGTTCATGTTAAATCAAGCTGCATTTAATAAAAGTATTCTATCCATTTTTTTAAGTTTCTTGTCTCAGAGAGACTCTTGAAAAAAAAATCAGGAATCATGTTTTTAATCTCCGTTCTGTCCTTTAATTGTTCATGTTACTCTCCTCTGGTAAGAAGACCAGCCATGGGGGCTGTCTGCGCGTCCATGTGGTCAGTCCAGACACGAGACATCCCAAAGTACAATGAACACACAACAGGAGGGGGCCAGTGCCCGCCGAGGAGACGCACAATTCACCACTGGCTTGTGCTTAAATCGTGTGGCAGGAACCTTCGTTAGAAACACCTTTTAAACGCTTAGACAATTCACTATTGAATTCTTGTCGGATTTGCATTGTATTCTCTGATTTACACACAAACGTAAGCGGGATAAAAAAAAAATGAAAGACTAAACGGTGATTAATCTTATATCTGTAAGTTCCACTAAATCAAAGTGAATTTAAATGGCATAAATTTGACGTGCACCCCTTGATCTATTTCAAGCATCCTGCAAAGTTTCTAAGACTGCACTTTGGGATTTGGCAGCAGAGCCTGGAGGCTTTTCTCTGAGGTCATTATCAAGGCTCAATCCCGTGTTTGTACTGGCACTGAAGTTATGCAGTCAGAGAAAGAAAGAGCGCATTTGATCCGCGGCCTGAGCCCATGAAGCCTTGGTAAAGCAGTCTATATAAAGTTATGCCCAGCTATAAATTTATATCCTCAATAACATAAATTGGGACATAAAACAGGGTGCTAAGAACGTGCAGTCAAATGTCGGTGTTGATCGCACGTGCTTTTGTCAAAAAAAGCTGTCAAAACATAAGAGCCAGTATGTTTTTGTGGTTAAAGCAGGGAACCACAAGGCGGTCACACACTTGTCTTTTCCATATTTTCTGGACGACTGCCTGCACTGTGATTATGACGGACTGCATAAAAGTAACAAGGAAAGCTGGCCCACTTCATTCTTTTTTCTTTTTTTTTTGGGGGGGGGGGGGGGGGGGGGCGACACATGCAGTCTAAACTAAAGGTCTACAGTTCTCTAGGAAATCCTTACTCCCACGGTGTTCCCAATGTTCCCTCTTGACTGACACATTTGCTGCAACTTTTCGCTGTGCTTCAGTTTCTCTCGCCGTGGGCTCAAACGTTGCGTTAACAGCCTGCTAAACTATAGCCTGTAAGCTGCATGTGAAATCACTTTATTGGCATGCGAGAACCTCCGTAAATATACAGATCTGCGCTGCCTCTCACTGCATGTTCAGTCGGTTCCACATCTGTTGTATTTCTGATCCGAAGCCACCGTCCGATTGCAGCGAGTATTATTTGCTTTTAAATGCCATCAGGCCGACAATAAGTCATTTTCTCCTTATCTAGCATCATCGTTACATTTTTAATTTGATCCACACATTATTATTATTGTTGTTGTGTTTTGGGGATTTTTTTTATTATTATTTTTGCAAAATTTAAATAAAATATTTTTTAGCGAAGTAGGTTTTTCAGTGCATTTGTTTTCTTTTTCAATAATAGCATCGTGAGCGCTAAAATTCCTCCCAAATATGCAACACTGCATTCTAAATTGTAGCGTAACCATTTTTTTAACTGTAAATATACATTTTGAGCAATGGAGTGAGGTTAAATATGTGCACCTGTTAAGCTGCGTTACAGAGGTTTTGCTCTTTCTGCACTCCTAAAGCAAAGACGAAATTGTAAATGTCATTAAAACTGCAGCTCTGTCAATAAAACGCGACAAAACGACTGATTGGGTTTTCTTTTTCTTAACCTCAAGGTGATTTTTCCTTGTTTGTTTGTCTGGTTATAAAGATAGAGACTGAAATGGCTCGCCCGTTTTAAAATGTTGTCGGAATGTGGAGATTGAAATAGAATGGTTGCATTTCGTTACTTCAGAAATTAAATACCTCTGCATGGACTGTTTTCCTATCTTCCTAATAATTTTCTATTGAGTTTTGAAACTTGCAAAATAGTTTAAAAACCATTATTATCAAAGTAGCATTGGTTTTAAGGCATTTGCAGGGGAAAGGCCTGCACAGTTTGGCGTTCACGACCTGGAATTTAATGAAAAAATGAAGACTTGGATAGTTTAATTGAAAAACAAAACAAAACTCCACGGGATGAACAATTTAAAGACAAACAACTCAAGAAAACATTGCAGACGTAGTTGAGTTGACGTAAGGCCCGCTGTCTCTGTGCAGGTATTTTTCTAGTCAACCAGGTGTGGTAAAGGCAGCAACTTAACTTATACTGAGATTTGTAAAACTACAAAACTCCTAAAACATTGGGCTTATTCACTGCGGGACCTATGTGTCTCACGCCTTCAATTACATGCAAATCAACGGGATGCCCGTTTGTATGTTGCTTTGCATCCACACATCATTATTTGAACGGCGGTTGTGGGAAAAATTTAAAAAATAAATAAATAAATAAAAAACCTGAAAACTGAGGGCAGAAATGTGAATAGGATGATCTTGCCGGCAGTATAACTCAATAGCTCATTATTAGAGGCTAAAATTAGTGGAGAGCAGCGAGAAAACAGAGGCACATGAGCATGCAGTGGGGACTGATGACAGCGGCACTCTGGCAAAAAAAAGAAAGAAAAAAGAAAAAACATTTGCAACCAGGCAGACTTGTAAATATCACCTTTCTCAAAGATGCCAGGGACCCACATACCAGACTAAAGAATTGCATGCACTCTTGTGAAATATCGGGGCTTTGCACCTGGTGGGTTGCCCTGCTGCTGCTGAACTAATGGTAAGCCATACCCCGTGATGTTTCCCCTTTTAATTGGGTAATACAGGTCTGATCTCAGTGGCTTGCTAAGCCCTTGGTGTAATAGCGTAGGGTGTGCGGGATGGAGCAGGGAAGTGCGATAAAAGAAGTTCTTACAGCAGAGATTTCCAGCTGTATAGTCATCAGGACTCGTTTCGCTCCAAGGTCAACGAGTTAACTCTCTGGTAGCTGCGTCATCCCGTTTCAAGGCCAAGTTGAAGCAACGGAGACGGGAGGGGCCACCTTAGTGAGGAGAGTCTAAATTGTTATTTTCTTCCAGGTTCCTTGTGTGTGAAACGCAGTGCGCCTCAGCCAGCGGCTGGCTCAACAACCACCAAACTAATTCGTGCGCAATTTCATCGCGCACTGAAGCACATTTTGTGCTAAAAGCAAACATTGTGACAGATCTGCACCGCCGGGGCCAAGGATTGGATTACACGCAGACTGCGCAGGCTCCATGGTCAAGTTCAAGTTGGGCTGGCTAGTAAAACTAAGGGGCGCATTCTGCAGTGTCTGCCATGGGGGGCGCTCCCCACTCTTTGATCTTCCCCTGAAGAAGTAGACACTGGAGAGGCGCCTACACTGCAGTCCAGTTTTCTGCACTTGTGCCACAAGAATGTGGATCAAATGTTCATTGAATAAAAAATAATAATAACTGCGTTCCATGCTATGGAAATTGCTTTATGTAAATAAGTAAACCGCGTTCCACACCCAGCAAGCTCTCCAAACCAATCCGCTCTCCTTTACTATCTAAGCCACACACAATATGTACTGTAAATGCACAAGGTCACCCATTGCGCAAAAGCATTTTCGAAGCGTTATCTCAGGGTGATCACAAGATTTTATCTGCGACCCATTACGTAACGAGCGAGGATCTTGGCGCTTGACCAACAAACACTGCGCGATGACCAGTGTTTATGATTTTTCAAAGCAAAAGTAACAAGTTCTTTCATTTCTTGGACGTAATTATGTCATTTTGATAGCTAGATAGATAGATAGATAGATAGATAGATAGATAGATAGATAGATAGATAGATAGATAGATAGATAGATAGATAGATAGATAGATAGATAGATAGATAG